TCTCTGAAGGGGAATAAAAAAAAATCCAATAACTTTGAACCAAGAATGGAAAAGACAAGACAAATTTAGTCTTCCCGTCACTTTCTTTTCTATGGTAAAGTTTTAGATTTAGCAAGAGATTTATGGCACTTGCAACACAACAAGTTTGTACAAGAGCCGAAGATTAGGTGTTACAAGAGAGTAACAAACAAAAAAAAGGAGGAAGAGATATAAGGACTATAGATCAGACGCTTGATGGGCAACAAAGGAACAAACCAGACCAGAGCACCCACCAACCACCCGCTTTACTATTGCCAGCTCATATCTCAGGTGAGTAAATAATAAAGAATTTATAGCAGGAAGCAAAAGGTCACTCAGTGAGACTATAATTAATCTATTGATTAGAAACATTAAGGCTTGACAACAAAATGACTTACTTCTTCACTTTTTAGCCCTATGGGAATAGCATAGATATGTCAAATTTTTATAATTTGAGTTTGCATAATTTAGTGAGAAGAATTATTATTGATAAAAAGACAATAAATTTTCAGAAAGTGGTATCAGTTGAAAATCTACAAAATCTGATGCCTGTATTGATTTTATGGCCAATATCTCCATTCCGGGTTTGCAACAAGTAACTCATTTTGTAGGTGCAATTAACATTTAACACCCAGATACACACAGCTTGGGATAATTGGCGAGAAGCAGACCACATCACAGAGCCCATTAATCATTCACAACTTATAGTGGCAGGCATCACAAAACATTTCAACACGACGGTCAATAGCCAATAAATCACACACACAGTAAAAACAAAACAAAAAGAAAACCAAAACAACCAAGATCATCCCCTATTTAGCATTGAAATTTCAAGACAAAGTTAGAGTAATTTTTAGTTTTAATAAGAGTTTTACGGCACTTGCAACAAAATAAGGTCATATAAGTGCCGAAGAATAGAGGTGTTACCAGAGAGGGTTTACAGTAATAGAGAGGTGACACTCGTGGCGGCGCTCCATAACAACAGTGCATTGTTTCGCGTATCGTCCGGCTCTGGGCGCGAAAACACTTATG